GTCACATAAACAACAACGAACAATAATAAATAAGTAAGAATAGTCAACAAACATTAATTAATAATTAATAAATAAAATAAATAAAACTAATAGAATGAGTTAAAATATTAGCAGGTAAAATTTAAAATTTAAAACGTGCGATGTGGATCGGCAGTCGCCGACATATAGCTGTAAATAGCCAAATCAAACAAAAACAATGTATAAAATTTAACAAAAATGTTAAGAAACGTATAAGCATGGGTGTCAAAGTAGAATTCGACCGACCTCCACAAGGTTAGGGACGGGCAACACAAATAACAATATGTCATTTGTGGCTAACAGGTCGATACAAGATAAAACTATAAAACAACGGAACATAATTTCAACAAGAATGAGTAACATCTATAATAAAATAAAATAAAAAGAATGAAACGAAAATATATATTAAATTAAAATTAAAAGTAACATGATAAAAAATAAAAAGAAGATTTTCATTGCGGATATGAACGTAAGTTCGGGTGCCGCATAAGAATGGATGTTGAAATAAGATGAAGATAAAGATGTCCCTATCTACTCCTCTCCGTGGTGCACCTTGTCGTGGTGGAGAGGCTCAGTAGCTAGTGGGTAAAACCAGAGGCGAAACTAACGCACCAAGCTCCCTCGTAAGCCCGTGAGGCAACCGCAGCGATGCGGAGCCTATGAACACGACTACGCCCAATGCTTGTATTGAGTAGCCGAATAGGCGAATGAGCGCTCGGTCGAACGCCGGCTAATAAAGTTGAAAGCTCCTGATTCTCGGCACAATTATATATGAAGTCGCGTCTTTAACGGCGTGGAGCTAATGATTAAAATCCTGCCGCTGTCGTGCTCGTTACGACAAGCAGCGGACGGTTAATCAACTGAATATCAGTGACGAAAACCGTTGATTGGGCCTCGAGGATGGTGCAAGAGCTCTATATCAACAAATGAAGCCTTCGGACTAAGGACTGTTGATGGTGCAGTCAGAGGGCACAGACCTACCAAGGAGGCTGTGCGTCATCAGACACGGCCGATGACTAAACTCCGGTCGCTGTTGTAAGTTAGTGGAAGTTCTCAGCGGCCGGTATAGGTCGCGCTGATTAAATGATGCGAGCCTAATGGCAGCACAAGAGCTCTAATTAACTAATGAGGCCTACGGGCCGATGACTAGATTGCTGGCTGTTTCGACTTCGAGTGCGAACTCGCTGAAGGGCAATAATCCCATGAGAGCATTTATGAAAGAACGAGAGTTTAAAATGATTAAAGGGCAGACGAGCGAGGGGGCTACCTTAGCCCTTCCTTTTGCCCATCCCTCCTGGCTTATCTATTCATTATTTATTCCTTTGGAACGACCCGATACCACGTTCCCATCACTCCGCTCGAAAGGGTCAGACTTGCGACCGGGCGGGACGCACTGAATGAGTCTCCCCGTGGTTCCCCATGGACGCGGCGGGTGCGGGTAACTCTGCACCAGTCGCGACTAAATCACTCAGCCTGCGCACTCGCCTGCAGGAGTGCTGGATTTTTCTATCGCCCGTCTCTGGGGTTTTGCTAGATAGCGGATAGTCTTGTGGCGTTTAGCGTTTTCACGCTCAGGCAGCAGGGGTTTTCCTCCTCTAGCGGTTCAACACCCTCACAATGAATGTCCCTATCTACTATCTCCCCCTCCGCTGCGCCTTCCCTCGTTCTGAAGTGGGGGGTGGGTCTGCGCCTAGGCAGAGGCCGGGGCGTGGGCCTGCTCGTGCGGATGCGCGGGGGAAGGGGCAGGGGCCGCAGAGTAGAGCCTACCGGGCCCTGCGTTGTCGGGCTAGGCTTCGGCCTGGTGCGGCGGAGACGGTACCGGTTGGTTTTTTTTTTTTTTTTTTTTTTTTTTTTTTTTCTAGGTCGGGGGTTGGGGTGTCCGACCGGCGGGCTCCCCCGTTTTGTGTTAGTTGGGATTTTCCACTTTAAGACCAAGGTGTAGGTGCCGTGCTCAGGGTCTGAATGGCTGCGGGAGTGTTTTGGTTAGGCGTTAACGCAGTCGCTAACGGTCCGCTCCGGGGTACCTGCCGACCCCTCGGTGTAGCTAGGCTTAGTGTCGTATAGGTGGCTCTACGGCGCTGGACATCCCTTCCACCACACTCGTGGGAAAAAAAATGAATGGTTCTAAAATTTTAAATTTGGTGAGGAGTGCCCGTTTGACCAGCCGCTTCCGGCTAGACAGTGCGGCTGTTAGGAAAGTGGTGGAAGTTTCCTCTTCCGAGGGAGTTCCGTGCGCGATCGCTCGTGGGCTCGGTGATGGCCTCCGCTTCTTCGAGAGCGCCTCACCGTGTTTTGCCCGAGCGAATCCGCGTTGGACGCGGCGGGATACAGTCCCAGGTTTGCAGTCTTCGTACTGTCCGCATTGAAGTTGAAAAATATGATAGGATAGCGCGCGTGATAAAAAGTTCCGTACAGCCCACGTATTATTGGAAAGTTGCGATAGTCTTGTAGGAACAAATAGTAGGTCAGGTAACGTTAAGCCCCGCGAAGCAAGAGTTGAAAAGAAACGCGTTAGATTCGCGGACCCCATCCAGACCCACCTGGAAAACTCACTAAGCGATGTTAGCTCATCAAACTCGGCAAAAAATTTAGTAACGGCTACGGAACCAGCGGTAGTTTGCGCGCGGTCCACGGGAATTAGGATACTACAATTGAACATGCGTCGTTCACAAGTAGTATCAGGTGAGGTTCGTCAACTGGCCTCTGAGAAGCGACTTGACGTCCTGTTATTGCAGGAACCATACGTCAGAAAGCAAAATTCAAGCCACGTATTCTATGGGCTAGGTAGGCAAATTAGGGTGGCAGTTGTTCGCTCGCAACGTCCGTGGGCGGCAGTTGCTATAAGTAATCCAAACTTTGAAATGTTATTTGTCTCACAGCTTAGTACTACGCATTGTGTTTGTGCGGAAGTGCAAGCCCCCAATTTTTCGTTCTACGTCGTGTCGTGCTACTTCCAATACAGCGACGAGATCGAGAAGCACCTCAGCCACCTCGAAATGGTGTGTCATTCACTGAGGGGGAAGAGAATGTTAGTTGCGTTAGATGCCAATGCGCGGTCGTCGCTCTGGAGCCCTCAGAAAACAGACGAAAGAGGTGCCAAACTCGAGGACCTCATCCAAGCATTCGGCCTCCAGGTTCTGAACGACGCTGCTCAGCTACCCACCTACTGGACGGCGGGAGGGTTGTCTTATATAGATGTTATTCTCTCGTTCCCTACCATGAGCCAATTCATTGGCGAGTGGAAAGTGAGGCAGGACTGGACGAGCAGCGACCACAACTCCGTGGACATCAGAGTGAGGGTGCTGAAAGTAACGGGTAATGATCGGGGAGCCGAGACTAATCGTTTCGACACACGTTAGGCCGATTGGGATCGGTTTGCCGAGAGCCTGCGCGATCTATCCAGGTCGCGGTTCGAGGTCCTTGGTCTGCAGTCTGCGGAAGAAGTAGAGTTGATGGCGCAAGAACTTACGGTGGTGCTCCAAGAGGCCTGTAAGTCTTCTATGCCAAGAAAGCGAAGGTTTAGAAAATCCAACCCGTGGTGGACTAGAGAACTGACTGTCATCAAAAAGTCAGTATATAGGTTAAGACGTGCCACCCAGGTAGGGTGAGACTTGTAGCGTGAGATGCGAAAGCAACACGCCACTGGTCGACCTGTAGTGTGTGAGTCGAAAGCAACACGCCGCTCGTGGACTTAGTCGCGCGGGATGCGAAAGCAACACGCCGCAGGTCGACCTGTGGTGTGTGAGTCGAAAGCAACACGCCGCTCGTGGACTTAGTCGCGCGGGATGCGAAAGCAACACGCCGCTGGTCGACCTGTAGTGTGCGATGCGAAAGCAACACGCCGCTGGTCGACTTAGTCGCGCGGGATGCGAAAGCAACACGCCGCTGGTCGACTTGTAGTGTGCGATGCGAAAGCAACACGCCGCTGGTCGACTTGTAGCGTGAGATGCGAAAGCAACACGCCGCTTGTCGTCTCAGTCTCGCGTGAAGCGAAAGCAACACGCCGCTGGTCGACTTAGTCGCGCGTGAAGCGAAAGCAACACGACGCTGGTCGACTTGTAGCGTGAGATGCGAAAGCAACACGCCGCAGGTCGACCTGTAGTGTGTGAGTCGAAAGCAACACGCCGCTCGTGGACTTAGTCGCGCGGGATGCGAAAGCAACACGCCGCTGGTCGACCTGTAGTGTGTGTTACGGCTTGTATGCCAAATTCATAAATTCAAAATCTAAACACCGGTATGGCCTTCACATTTTCGAGGCTCATGAGTCGATTCGTGATCTATTGTTCGATCCGCGCATACGCAGATCGCGACTCTTCGCAGCGAGCGTTATCGTGACTGTCTCGAAGGAAAGTCAGTCCGTTTATAGATCACTGTGAGAACGGATGTAATCTTTCGCATTGTCGCATCCGAATGTAACTATTGTATAACGCTCCCGAGAGCTAACGACGGATTAATTGTTATCTTGTAAACCATAGTGAAACTTGATTAAATATATTGTTGGTTTTTTTGTAATTTAAATATTGAGTCATTGCTTAAAACCATTTTGCATCATAACACGCGTACATTCCTAACGCCCGCGCCGGTGAAAAATAAATAGTTTGAATGGAACGATAAAGATCGGAGGTGTCGCCACATTTAATGGTCCTTCGAGCCGGATCCCGCGGGTGGACGTCTAAAAGATTCGCGAATCTTCTCAGTGCATATCAGTGCTAATTAACACTCCATGAGACATCGCATACGTGCCGCGGTATAATTCGTGTATTCGGTGCGTTTGCCTATAAGGATCAGAAATTATTTTCCCGCGAAAAGACACGCGTTTCAGTGCTGGGACGAATGACCACGGACAAACACGCTCACGCATTCATCTCGTGTCGCGCGTGTGTCTTCGCGAACAGATGTGATTCTCGTGACTTTTGCAGGCGATTCATATACTCGGTGGACAATAATTGTCGCGAATTCTGTGAGTTTGTTGCCCATACGCAATGGCAACGCTTAAAGAGCTGCTCAAGCAGCAAGACATTCAAACTGGACAGATTTCTCGAGCGATCACGAATCTGAAGAAAATCGGAGTCACCAATTACACGGTCTACAAGGTGAAACATCGGCTCGAGTCCTTGGAAAAGCTGTGGGAGAAGGTTCAGCTCGTCAATGTACAGCTCATTCAGAAGGCGTCTGAGGAGGAAAGAAACCAACTCGACTACTTCAAGGAAGACACGTTTCTTCTCGCTGAGGAGGAGTATCTCGAAGCTTCCGACTACATGGCTGATATCATCGAGAGCCTCTCCGCAAACCTCCCCGCAAACCGCTCCAACCCGGGGCTTTCAGGTGACGCCAGCCTAATGAATACGACCACTGCGTCAAATTCCGCTATGAAGCTTAGCCGTATCGAGCTTCCTGAATTTTCCGGTGACCGTTTACGTTGGACTTATTTCCGCGACATGTTTGAGACTCTCGTGATTAATAATTCGTCATTGAATAATGTCACGCGCTTACATTACTTGATGTCAAAACTTAAAGGCAACGCTGCCTTGTTATTGCGAAACTTTAAAATTTCTGAAGATAACTTCGAGCCCGCATGGAAGGCTCTGACGGACGAATTTGCGAATACGCGTTTAATAATTAATTCACATTTGCAAGCGATTGTTGACCTACCGATTGTGAGGGCCGAGTCAGCCAGCGCGCTTCGAAACCTACGCGATGTAACTCGATCATCGATCGACGCGTTGTCTAACCTTGGCCGTCCTGTCGATAAATGGGACGATCTGTTGATATTTCTTCTTACAAAAAAATTGCCTTCTCGTACTCGTCAGGAGTGGCAAATGGAATTGGGAGATTCCTACGAACCGCCAACATTCGACGCGTTTCTAAAATTTATTTCAAAGCGCATTAGAGGTCTCGATGACGATAACCCTACGAACACGAGCGATACTGTATCCGGAAAATCGTGTACTACAAAGGCGAAAATTCATACCGCGAGTCAATCGTCTGCACAAGACTCTCGGAAATGCCCCGCTTGTTCCGAGAAACATCTTTTATTTCGATGCAATAAATTCGTCTCCTTGGACATCGACCAACGCTTCGCCCTAGCGAAAAAATTAAAGTGTTGTATAAATTGCTTGCGCCCCGGTCATTCCACCAGCGCGTGTAAAAATCCTCAAAAGTGCTTTAAATGCGACAAGACGCACCATACGTTTTTACATCGCGACATCAAGAATAGCGAAAGTACGTCGTCAGGCGACAGTAATTCCGTTACTTCGAGCGCCGCAAACTCACAGGACGCAAGTTCGACCGTACATACTGCGTCAACGTGGTTACCCAAGGATCCCACCGTGATACTCGCTACCGCGTGGGTAAATTTGCGCACTCGCGAAAATCGAGTAGTACGGGTACGCGCGCTTCTGGATCAGGGAGCTACTCATTCGTTCATTACGGAGACGTTGGCTCAATCGTTGCACACGTCTCGCCAACGTACGACATTGCCCGTATCGTGTTTTGGCGACCAATACTCCGGCACGGCAAGGGCGATGATGCGACTTTCACTCGAACCGTGCAGGACGCCCGGCATATCACTGCCGGTCAAAGCGTATGTGTTTAATCGCATAACTTCGTACTGTATGTCCAAGCGCAGACCCGCCTC